GAGTGTACAACAAGGGATCTCTACCCTCAATAAAGAGGGAGAATGCTATTTCTTTTCTTTTTTTTGTCAAGGTAATTCATTTCATTACAAATGAAAGGGATTATATAGTCAAAAAATGCAAAAATAAAAAACAGCCCGTAGATACAAGACCTCAGCCTAATAGAAACAAAAAAAGAAAATTAGCATAGTTGAGGCCCAAAAACAGACATCTAGCCTAATACAAACACAAAGGAAAAACCTTAAATCTAAGAAGCCTTAGCCTCCACTTCCCACTTGCTGCGCCGCTGTCACAAATCCACAACCGCCAGAGATGGGTACCCTGTAACCAGACATACCAATGCTTAGAACGAAGAATGATGGTGGACAAACCACCCATGCAAAAAGCACTACCATAATCCAAGAAGCACGTGCAAGGAGCACTTTTGAAGCATCCTCATCCATGAAGCCGAGGAGCAGTGGCTGGTGGTTGAGACCTCGGGTCGGGACACAACTAGAGGGAAGTGTGGAGGACACCATAATAGAGAAGGGGCAAGGGATGTAGAGGTGAGAAGTGTAGGTTGAAAAACAATATTTTTGGGTGAGGGAGAAAGAAGAGATTGGAAGTGTAGATTTGTGTTTTCCAAATTTAGGCATAATTTAGGGAAATTTAAAGTGAGGGTGAAGAGAAAAATGTAGAGAACAAAAAGGAGGTAGAAGCTCATGATCTGAGATAAAGCTCAAGGACAAAACACCCATGTTGGGTATGGAAGAGCCAACGACTCTCAAAATGGAGGCAGGGCACAGTGTCACATCCCGGGATCGGCTCCGTTGTAGCACGATATTGTCCGCTTTGGGCCCCCCTCTCTGCCCTCACGGTTTTGTTTCTGGGAACTCATGAGCAATCCTGGGATTTCTCTAGCCCCAACTCGCTTAACTTCGGCGTTCCCATAACTTCGAAGCCAGTGAGCTTCCAAAATGCCTTGTGCTAGATGGAGGCGGGCATGTACATATAAGGCACATCACCCCCTCTTCGTTGGTCGATGTGGGATCTTACAATCCACTCCCTTTAGGGGCCCGACGTCCTTGTCGGCACACGCGGATCACACGGTAGATTGGCTATGATACCAAATTGTTACATCCCGGAATCGGCTCCGCCATAGCACGATATGGTCCATTTTGGGCCCCCCTCTCTACCATCACGGTTTTGTTTTTGGGAACTCACAAGCAATTTCCTAGTGGCTCACCCATCCTGGGATTGCTCTAGCCCCAACTCGCTTAACTTTGGAGTTCCCATGACTCTGAAGCCAGTGAGCTTCCAAAAGGCCTCGTGCTAGATGGAGGCGGACATGTACATATAAGGCACATCACCCCCTCTCTGTTGGTCGATGTGGGATCTTACACATAGAGCTCAAGAGAGCTCTCAGGAGATGGGGTTTTTGGTTTTTTGAGGGAGGGAGAATGCTCTGATGATATGATTCAGGAGTCTTCGGTCGAATCACTAGGTATGTGTAGGAGTCTTTTTCTTCCAACAGCCAGACGAATGGGCTTGGGCTGCTGTAAAGGATGAACAGATCAGATTGCCCCTGTTTCTAAGTTCAAAGACTGGGCTCCAAGAGAGTTTTGAAAGGAGTAGTGACAACCTTAGAAAACACCTTGGATTCTTTCCACCAATACACCAGACGAATGTGACAAAACTAGTGACAGTATGGCTTGGCTTGAGGACTTGTGGCATGGGAGCTAAGCCTTCACAAGTTTAGCAATCTGAGAGAGAGACAAAAGCTTGAATTTCTTATGGAAACGAATGTTTAGGGCAAGGGGGAGATAGATTTGAAGGGATCTTGACTAAGGAAGAGAGGGAGAGATGAAAATAGAGAATGGGGTGTCTTGAGTAAATTCCCAACCACTTGACAAAGCTTGGTCGCGCTCTGGATGATGGGTTTGTTGAGTAGAGAAAGCTCTCTTTTATAGGCACTTAGAACCCTAATTCTATTGATCTTCCATTCCCACTTTTCCTTTGCTTCTTTCCATTCACTCCTTTTTGGTGAAATCTCTTCAACTAGAACGCATGGGTCACAGGCTCTTTGGAGTTCCAAGGTTTTCTATGCGGCTGGACCTCCCTATGGGGGTGAGGCGCCACCTGCTTTCTTCCTTGGTTTTCAAATTAGAGCTCGCAGAGGAAAAAGAGAATGGATAGAGTCGTTTGTCCAATGGGTATTCCTCCTACACATATGGATTTCCTTTGGTTCTTGCGATGACCTCTATTTGACTTGGTTCTGGAGCTTTGACATTGGCTAAACTCGATGCTAGATATTTTATTAAGTACTGGGTTGGGCTTCCTAAGGCATTGGGTTGTTGGCTTCCTACTTCCAGCGGTCAGCTAAGGTTTCGTCAGGCTGCTGGAAATGACTTATTTGCTTTACCTTTTGACAAGGTGCTAGAGGCTTTAACTGATATGGGGCTTTCCTAAGTGTTGCAGACCCTTAAATATTCTTTTACGGCATTAGGCCACCTCTTCTCTCTCTCTCTCTCTCTCTATTGCTTACCCATGTGTTCGAGCTCAAGGAATGGGCCTGAGTTTTCGTGCTCCCAAGCAGCCCAAAAACTTCTATCCCTTGAACCTTCAATGGGCCTTGTGAATACTTATAACCATCCATACCACAACCTTCTCAGCAAGCC